AGCAGGCGCCCGCTACAATGCCTGGCTATTTTTTGCTTGCAGTTGTCATTGTTTTTAGCTGGCCTGGGCTAGGTTTGAACCTGCCAGCCTAGGTGTACGTGGCCAGCGCTCTATCCACTGAGCTATGGGTGCTGCCAACTTTTAACGTTTTTTACCTTTCTCTGAGGTGCGAGTATATTGCCTGAGACAAGAATCTAGATCTTTGAGCATACAGATGATGTGATACTTTATTTTTACTTATTTTACTTTATTTTGTTTTATCTTACTTTATTTTTTGAGACAGAGTCTCACTCCCTCACCCTGGGCAGGGTGTCATGGCGTCCACTGCAGCCTCAAGCTCTTGGGCTCAGGTGATTCTTTTGCCTCAGCCTCCCAAATAGCTGTGACTATGGGTGCCAGCCACAGGCCTGGCTAATTTTTCTGTTTTTAGTGGAGATGTGTGCGGGGGCGGGGTGTGTGTCTCACTTTTGCTCAGGCTGGTCTCGAACTCCTGAGCTCAGGCAGTCCACCTGCCTTGGCCTCTCAGAGTGCTAGGATTATAGACGTGAGCTATTGTGCCTAGCCCCTATTTATTTTTTTGAGACAGAGTGTCACTGTGTTGCCCCAGGTATAGTGGTATCATCGGAGTTCACAACAACCTCAAACTTGTAGGCTCAAGTGATCTTTTTGCCTCAGCCTCCCAAGTAGCTGTGACTACAGACACAGACCACTATGCCAGCTAATTTTCCTACTTTTAGTAAAAATAGGGGGAGGGGGCTCTTTCTATTGCTCAGGCTGGTCTCAAACTCCTGACTTCAAGCAGTTCTCCTGCCTTGGCTTCCCAGAGTGTTAGAAATACAGGTGTTGGCTCGGTGCCTGTGGCTCAAGTGGCTAAGGCACCAGTCACATACACCTAAGGTGGTGGGTTCAAATCCAGCCCGCACCCACCAAACAATGACAGCTGCAACCAAAAAAATAGCCAGGTTCCTGTGGTCCCAGCTACTTGGGAGGCTGAGGCAGGAGACTGACTTGAGCCCAGGAGTTGGAGATTGCTGTGAGCTGTGATGCCAGGGCACTCTACCCAGGGGGATAGCTTGAGGCTCTGTCTCAAAAAAAAAAAAAATACAGGTGTGAACCACCAAACCCGCGGATGTGATGTTTTTTTTTTTTGGAGACAGAGCCTCAAGCTGTCCCCCTGGGTAGAGTGCCGTGGCAGCACAGCTCACAGCAACCTCTAACTCCTGGGCTCAAGCGAGCCTGTTGTCCGCCTCACAAGTAGCTGGGACCAGAGGCGCCCGCCATAACACCCAGCTATTTTTTGGTTGCAGCCATCATTGTTATTTGGCAGGACCAGGCTGGATTCGAACCCACCACCTTAGGTGTATGTGGCTGGTGCCTTAGCCACAGGCGCCGAGCCAGATGTGGTATTTTTAATATGCCATTTTGTTCTCTAGTTTTCACTGAAGCTGCTATATTAATAAAAAATAAAATGTTACTAGAGGTATGTAGATATATCTATATCTCACAGATAGCACTAACTTTAGTTCTTATCATAGGATTGGTTTTCCTAAAATGCAGTTAAATCAGTGTTCACTGAACTAAGTAGTTCTCTAATGGTCCGCCTTTCTTTTTCAGGCCTGCCAGTTGTCTTCACCCTCTTTGTTCCTGTACAGCAGTGTTTTTCAACCTTTTCATCTCACAGCATACTTGAACCTGTAGTTAAACTTCCTAGGCACACTTAAATTATCAAACAAAAGGAGTTAAGGCCGGGTGCAGTGGCTCACGCCTGTAATCCCAGCACTCTGGAAGACCAAGGTCAAGTGGATTGCCTGAGCTCAGGAGTTCAAGACCACCCTGAACTAGAGCGAGACCCCATCTCTGAAAATAGCTGGGCTTTGTGGTGGGCGTCTATAGTCACAGCTACTGGGAAGGCTGAGGCAAGATAAACCTTGTGCCCAAAAGTTTGAGGCTGCTGTGAGCTGTGATGCATAGCATGCTATGGAGGGTGACATAGTGAGACTCTTGTCTCCAAAAAAAAAAAAAAAAAAAAGGAATAAAAAAAGAATATACTTACTGTGCTCTGAACTTCTTTCAAAATTTAATTAATGATCTTCAATAATTTTCATGGTGGCTTTTTCATCCTTCTATATTCCTTTCTGTCTAATAAATCCTATCTTACCACGGGGGGGGAAAGAATTTTCATGGTACACACAGGATGCTCTTGCAGCAGGCCAGTGGAAAATCAGTGCTGTAGAGGAATAAAACAAGAACACAGTGCTGTACCTTTCACTTGTATTTATTCACTGCCATGAGTCTAACCTTGAATGCTAATGAAAAATTGCTAACAACAGAAAAAAATTATTGCATTTTGATAAAAATATGTGTCAAATAAATTATCTCAGTTTGAGTTTAGAATTTTGTTAGGGAATTAAAAGAACATATACAAATTAATCTCATTAAAAAAAGACATACTGGGGCTGCCACCTGTGGCTCAAAGTGGTAGGGAGCTGGCCCTATATGCCAGAGGTGGCGGGTTCAAACCCAGCCCCGGCCAAAAACTGCAAAAATAAACCCCCCCAAAACAAACAAAAAAAAACATGCTGTTGTAAGTCTGAGTCCCTTAATGCTGATCTTGTAGTTCTTGCCCACACTTTCTGGTAGGAATTTGTAGCAGGTACAGCAGTCTATAGGGTAACCCTAAAGTAGTTGTACATAGGGAAAATGCAGTGACTGACATGTAAAGAATAATTTTATAAATACTTTATAAAATTCTATAATGAATATTTTGTAAACAAAGGTGCACTTAGCTACAATTTCCCTTTTTTTCTTTTTTTTGAGACAGAGTCTCAAGCTATCACCCTGGGTGGAGTGCTGTGGCATCATAGCTCACAGCAGCCTCCACCTCTTGGGCTTAAGTGATTCTCTTGCCTCAGCCTCCCAAGTAGCTGGAACTATAGGTGCCTGCCACAAGGCCCAGCTTTTTTTTTGGTTGTAGTTGTCATTATTGGTTGGATTTGAATCTACCAGCTCAGGTGTATGTGGCTGGCACTCAAGACGCTTGAGCTATAGGCGCCGAGCCTATAATTTTCCATTTTCTCGTATATGGGGACTTTATGGATACCCTGTACTCTTCTTCAAACCCAAGCCCTGAATTGATAAAACTTACCACATTTTATCCTAAAAGATTATACCAACATAAATTCTTGTTGACAATATGAGAGTGTCTGTTTCTCAGTTAGTTGTAGGATTGTAGTATGTATTTATTCATTTATGCATTTTTGAGATAGAATCTTAGTTTGTCATCCTGGGTAGAGTGCTGTGGCATCATAGCTCACAGTAACCTCAAACTCTGGGGCTCAAAACAATTCTCTTGTCTCAGCCTCCCTGGTAGCTGGGACTATACGTACCTACCATAACACCTGGCTATTTTTTAGAGATGAGGTCTTGCTCTAGCTCATGCTGGTCTTGAATTCTTGAGCTCAGGCAATCTACCTGCCTCGGCCTCCTAGACTGCTAGGATTACAGCTGTGAGCCACCACTCCTGGCCTTGTAGTATTTTAAAAAACTCTTTATCATATGAAAGTTATAAAATGGTATCTTGTTTTCATTTTTTTTTTTTTTTTTTTTTTGGTTGGTTTCTTTTGAGACAGAGTCTCACTCTCTTGCCCTGGCTAGACTGCCAGGGTGTCTATCACAGCTTACAGCAACCTCAAACTCTTGGGCTCAAGACTCTCGAGTAGCTGGGACTACAGGCACTCACCACAATGCCTGGCTAATTTTTTTGTATTTTCAGGAGAGACAGGGTCTTGTTCTTGCTCAGGCTGGTCTCCAACTCTTGAGCTCAAGGGATCCTCCCGCCTTGGCCTCCCAGAGTGCCAGGATACAGGTGTGAGCCACTATGCCTGGCTTGATAATCTTGTTCTAATTTGTAAGCTCTTTTTACCTACTAGTGAGATTGATTGTTTTCAAATGCTTATTTGGACCTTTTGTTAATTGTCTATGGTCTAGTTTTATTTTTTATTTATTTTTTTTGAGACAGTCTTACTGTGTTCCCTCAGTTGAGTTCAATGGTGTCACAGCTCACAGCAACCTCAAACTCTTGTGCTTAAGCGATTCTCTTGCCTCAGCCTCCTAAGTTGCTGGGACTACAGGCACCAGCCCCAATGCCTGCTATTTTTTTGTTGCAATTGTTTAGCTGGCCTGGACCGGGTTCGTACTCAACCACCCTCGGTGTATGTGGCTGGCGCCATAAGCACTGTGCTATGGGCGCTGAGCCTACAGTATAGTTTTAATTTGTACAAATAGTGAATCCTAGTGATTTGTAACTAGAATAGGAATATTTTAATAAGCTTGATAACATTGTATATTAAAATAGTGAATTTTTAAATAACTTTCTTTTTTTTGAGCTGTTACTTTTTTTATAGTTGTATTTTATGGTTAAGATTAAGGTTAAGATTATGGCTGGACATTGATGCAGTTGACTCCTCACAGGTGATTCAGCAGGCGCTGCACCGGCCCCCCAGCTCCGCCGCCCAGTACCTGCAGCAGATGTATGCGGCCCAGCAGCAGCACCTGATGCTGCACACGGCGGCCCTGCAGCAGCAGCACCTCAGCAGCTCGCAGCTGCAGAGCCTGGCCGCCGTGCAGGTGAGACGGGTGGACAAGGACGCAGGAGGCTAGGGTGTGTTATCTCGGATAGTTACGGAAAATTACATTATTTCAGAGTGCTCAGAAGTAGATTCCTGAAGAAAATATATTAATAGGCTGCCAAACAGAAGTTGAGGGGAAAAGGATATAAGTTTTTTATGTTACCCTGTTGTTAGTGTTTGTCTCACTGTTTTTTTATTCAAATTAGAGAAATGCTACACAGTTGCATGGTTCCATGTATAAAATTCTAGGTGCAACACTGAATATTTAGGATGACATGACTTTTATTTTAACTAAATATAAGGTTTTTAAAATTATGTTAAGTAACTTATACTCATTAAAAAAAAGCAATATAAAGTTGTTTATAAGAGATAAATAAAGCAGATAAATAAAGAGTTCTACACCTGCAACTGTTACCCACTTTTCAGAGGTAGCCACTGTAGCAATTTAACTTGTATCTGTTCAGAAATTTGCTATTCAAAAATATATTTATCCATCTTTCTAAAATCCAATCAAATTACTCCTTCTGATACCCGGATGATCTTATGACTAAATGCTTGCTTTAAAAAGGTTTTTGTAATTATTGTGCTATTTAAATAAAACTCTGAGATTTAATCATAAATCTCACCAGAGGAAGATCTCAGTAGCCTGAAGCTGAAAAAGGTTTATTTCTGTTATCAGCAGAGTCTTAGCTGTTGCTGCTGCTCAATAGTGTAATTTTAAGTAATGTCATGGTCATGGTGTGAGTTAGGAAACTGAAACCCACGCTCTTGATGTAGCTCTGGTGTCTTGTTCGTGATGTTGGAATGGTGGCTCACCTGCAGAGATGGCAGAGAGGTGTAGACTGACAGTAAGTGCAGCTAATATAAGATTATCCTTTGGGTCCCTCGTTTTCACAATTTAGCATTTTCTTTTCTTGTTTTTAAAAATCTGTTTGAACAAAGCTTTAAAGCTATCTTGACTGTAAAAGTTTTTTAATACATTAACTTTTGATGATGGTTTAATACATAAACCATTTCTTATTGTAGTTTCATATTATGGTACCAGGAAGTCTTTAAGTTTTCACTAAATTCTTATAAGGGTCTTATTATTTTAGGCAAGTCTGTCGAGTGGGAGACCGTCTACATCACCTACCGGAAGTGTCACACAGCAATCAAGTATGTCCCAGACGTCTGTAAGTGATTTTTTCCTGGATTTAAAAATTTATTATTATTATTATTTTTGAGATAGTCTCACTGTGTCACCCT